CAAACTTTGTGGTGCACACATGCCATGTGGTATCCACAGACGCCACGGTTCACACTCCCATGATGTACGCAGTCGCAATGGAGTGCACAATCGCTGTGGACTCAACAGGTCCGAGCGTTTTTTGAACCAGAAAAATTGAGATCCACCAGCAGCTCACATTATGAAAAGGGCCACGGTTGGGCCCCGAGCGATCTTCTGGACTTTCGCTCCGCCGGCACCTTACAGGTGTACACAAACGTTGTGGTGTGCGCTGGCATTCTGGTGCAAACACGGGGCGTTGAAACAGCAGCTGTGGTGCAGGCGGGCGCCGTGGTGTGCACCAACCGTGAGATGTACAAGGGCGCTGCGGTGCACCCGCCTGCCATGATGTGCTCAGTCGCCGTGGTGCACACACACACATACCATTTCTGCCGCAGTTGTGGTGTACAAAGGCATCGCGGTGTACAGAACCTGTGTAGTGTGCACAGACACGGTCGGCTTCGACGACGACGACAGCGGCGACGACGACGACGACGACGCCTACCGTGCCGACAGTTGTGCTGGTAAATAAATACCAGGGCCCGTGCGAGGGCCCCGCCGCGCATTACCGTTACCCCCAAGTTGGGGCCCGACCCCCCCCCCGTAACGGGCGATACCCCCCCCAATAAAAAAAAAAACAAACTCAAATCCCATTTGTTTTTGAACCCTTACCTTGCCGATCTGCGTGAGGGGTGCCACCGGATTTCAGAAAAAACGGCACATCCCATTTGGTTTTGGACCCTGACCCCGCCGATCTGCGTGAGGGGTGCCACCGAATGTCAGAAATGTGGCAAATCCCATGTGTTTTGGCACCCTGACCCCGCCGATTTGCATGAGGGGTGCCGCCGAATGTTCGAAATGCAGAAAATTCCTTGTGTTTTTGGACCCTGACCCCGCCGATCTGTGTGAGGGGTGCGACCGAATTTGAGAAAAGTTGCAAATCCCATTTGTTTTTGGACCCTGACCCTGCCGATCTGAGTGAGGGGTGTAAATTTTTACCCACCCCAGCAATTCAGACCATACGATTTCTCCGTAGTCAAAATGCATGTTTGGGGCCTCCCCCCCTCGCGCGGTCCATCAACAAGGAACAGGAAGCAGCAAGAAGTCAACAAGGACCAGTAAGCAGCAATAAGCAAAACTGTAACAGTGGAAACTGGAAGCTGCTACTGGCACAGGAAACTGCGAACCTGAGGCCTGCAGCCCGGTGGCCACACACGGGGGCCAGCGGATTTTCTGACTCTTTTGGATTATATATGTATATATGTAATAGTGAGGACCCGTGGATTACATCCACGGAGTTGCGCCGTCGCAGTCGTCGGTGCCGTCATCGTCGTAACCGTCGGCGTCGGCGGCGGCGGCGTCGGCGTGTTCTTCGGCGTGGGAGCCTCTTGGAGTCCTGTTGGGCCGTCTTGGGGCGGTCTATGAAGCGTCTGGGGCCGTCGTGGAGCATCGGGATGCGAAAACTCGTACACGGCCAAAACGCACGTTTTGCTAAGGAAATTTGACGATGTTGGCTTCCTGGGGTTCTGTGCGGAAGGTTTTGGGGCCGTCTTACGGGACCTTGGAGGTCTCTTGGGCCGTGTTTGCGGTCTCTCAGAAGCTCTGGCGCTGTTTCGGGCCTCTGCGGGCGTCTTCCGGAGCCGTTCCATGGCCTCTGGGATGCCCTCGTGGGCCGTCGTGGGAGCCTCTTCGAGTTCTGTTGGGCCGTCTTGGGGCGGTCTATGAAGCGTCTTGGGCCGTCTTGGAGCCTCGGGATGCGAAAACTCGGACATGCCCGAAATGTACGTTTCCCCTTGGGAATTTGACGATTTTGGCTGCCCGGGGCTCTGTGCGGAAGGTCTCACAGGGCGGGTGTCTTCCGGAGCCGTGTCAGGGCCCCTGGGATGCCCTCTTGGGCCGTCGTGGGAGCCTCTTAGAGTCCTGTTTGGCCGTCTTGGGGCGGTGTATGAAGCGTCTTGGGCCGTCGTGGAGCTTTGGGATGCGAAAGCGCGTACATGCCCAAAATGTACGTTTTCCCTATGGAATTTGACGATTTGGGCTTCCTGTGGCTCTGAGGGCCGTCGTGCAGGATCTTGGAGGTCTCTGGGACCGTGGTGGGGGTCTCTCAGGAGCTCCGGCGCCATGTCGGGCCTCTCCGGGTGTCTTCCAGAGCCGTTTCGGGGCTCCTGGGAGGCCCTCTGGGGCCGTCGTGGGAGCCTCTTGGAGTCCTGTTGGGCCGTTTTGGGGCGGTCTATGGAGCGTCTTTGGCCGTCGTGAAGCATCGGGATTTGAAAAGTCGTACATGCCAAAATGTACGTTTTCCTACGGAAATTTGACGATTTTGGCTTCTCGGGGCTCTGTGCAGACGGCTTTGGGGGCCGTCTTACGGGATCTTGGAGGTCTCTTGGGCCGTGTTGGGGGTCTCTCAGGAGCTCCCGCACCGGTTCGGGGTGTTCAGGGCCGGAGCCGTTTCAGGGCCCCTGGGAGGCTCCGGGAGGCTCGGGGAGCCGGGGGCCCACACAAACCCACAAGGCATCTTACGCATTTATTTGAGTGGATACATATACATACACACACATATATATATATATATATAATATATATATATATATATATATATATATGTGTGTGTATATATGTATATATATATATAGATTAAAAAAAATTTCGCCCCAAATCCGCCTGTAGGGGACATGCCCGACCTAAGCGCAGGCTGCCCGCGTCGCGTGGCCGGTCGCACGCGGCGGTGCGCTGCACCTCTGGCTGCGCCGTCTCCGCGAGAACACTCCTCATGGCGCCCACATCGTTAGGGGGGCACATGCGAACCCTACCCCTACCCCCCAGGATTTCCGAGGGGGAGGATGGGGTTCGCTTCGCTCGGGAGCTCCCGAACGGAGTGGACCCCACCCTCCCCCTCAGAAATCATGGAGGGTAGGGGTAGGGTTCGCATGTGCCCCCCTAATCGCAAAGCGGATTTCGGTCGGAAGACCATGGGATGGGCCCCGATGATCCTGGAGAATCTCGTTCCGGATTTCGGGGTGAACTTTTCGTTCGGATTGTTTGCGGCCAGGATGTGAGACCAACATAACATCCACGCGAAATGAATGTCGTTTTTCGCTCGCCGCTTCGGGAAAATATCCACGCAGAAATGCTCGCAGAAATACAAAGACGAGGGCCGCCAGAGTGCCCAGGAGGACTCGAATGACTCAGAACGTGCAGTGAAGGCCCATGCCAAGAAGCACACTGCTGGACTCCAGGGTGCCCTGGGCAGCTCTTGGGTGCTTCGATGGTTGTGCCATGGAGAGCGTGGCGCTCCCGCGCCAAAGAATCAGTGGACGCTCTGGGGTCACAGGGTCGGGTTTCCTGTGGAAGGTTTCTCGTGGCCTGGCCTCCACTGTATCTTGAGCGAATCTTAGAGGGATGAAGATGGAGGGAGGAGGAGGAGGAGGACGAGGGAGGTAGAGGAGGATGTGGAGGAGGAGGAGGAGGAAGACGAGGAGGAGGAGGAGGAGCAGGAGGAGGAGGACGAGGAGGGGGAAGAGGAGGAGGAGGAATACGAGGAGGAGTAGGAGGAGGAGGAGGAAGACGAGGAGTAGGAGGAGGAGGAAGACGAGGAGGAGGAAGAGGAGGAGGAGGAGGAAGACGAGGAGGAGGAGGAGCAGGAGGAGGAAGACAAGGAGGAGGAGGAGGAGGAGGAGGAGGAAGACGAGGAGGAAGGCGAGGAGGAGGAGGAGGAGGAGGAGGAGGAGGAGGAAGGGGAGGAGGAGGAGGAGGAGGAGGAGGAGGAGAAGGAGGAGGAGGGGAAGGAGGAGGATGAGGAGAAGGAGGACGAAGAGGAGGAGGAGGACGACGAGGAGGAGGACGAAGAGGAGAAGGATGAGGAGGAGGTGGTGGTGGAGGAGGAGGAGGAGGAGGACCCCCTCCCCCTCCAACTTATGGTGGTGGTGGTGGTGGAAAACAGGTCCATCACAGCGGGTCGGGCGGGGAGGCGCTCAGGCGCGAAAGGGTGGCAGTCTTAAGTCGGGCCTGTTTCTCTACAGGAGGACTACGCAGAAATAGTCAAACACAGTCAGTGGACGATGCTTGAGCATGTGTTTTACTATTGTGGGGTATCTTCTGAGTATTTTTAATTATTTGCCCACAATCCGCCTGTAGGGGGACATGCCCGACCTGAGCCTGGCCCTCCACTGGAGGACTACGTATTCAAACATAGTCAACATATCGTCTGGGGACGATTTTCATTGCATGTTGTTTGGGATTATGTTTGAGTATGTGTTGAGCAGTTTTCTATATTTCGTCCCAAATCTGCCTGTAGGAAAACACGCCCGACCTAGTCGCAGTCTTGTTCCTCTTTGCATTCTCCTCCACTCGCTCTCTCGCTTTTTGTGTGTCTCTCTGTCTCTCTCTCTCTCTCTCTCTTCCTCTCTCCCTGTCTCGCTGTCCCTCTCTCTCTCTCTTGCCCTCGCCCTCTGGGTCTCTCTCTCTCTCTCTGTCGGTATCTCTGGCTCTCTCTCTCTCTGTCCCTCTTTTCTCACTCTTTCAAGCCTCTCTCTGTCCCGGCGCCCCGTTCTCTCCATCTCTTTCTCTCGCTCTCCCTCTCTCTCTCTCTCCCTTTCTCTCTCGCGTTGAATATCTCTCTATGTCTCTCTTGCTCTCTCTCTCTCTCTCACTATTTTTGTTCTCGCGTTCTCTCTCTCTCTGTCTCTCTTTCTCTCTCTCTCTGTCTCTCTTCCTCTCTCCGCCTGTCTCTCTTTCCCCCTCCTTCGCAGTCGCTGTTCCTCTCTAGGGTCTTCCACGATTGCTCCTCCAGGTTCCCTCGTTCATCCAGGCAGTGTCCAGACCAGCAAAAAGCCTGGCATCGCTCGGACGTGTGCATTGTTTCTCGGCGAGGGCCATCGTGGAGCATCCTTGATCATTCGGCGAACATGCCACGCACGAAACCGAAACCAAAACACAGGGAATGGACATCCGAGCGATGGCCAGAGAGGGGCGCGCTGTCCGCAGCCCTTCTGGCCCAAGGCGCGCTTGGCGACACCCGCCACTGCCCTTCGCCCTCCATGTGCCACCCCTGCGGGCGCCCTCGCTCCGGCCGGGGAGGCCGTGCGGCCCGCCGATGGAGCCGGAGCGGCCCCGGGAGGGGGGCGGAGGAGACGAAGCGTGGAGGACGACGGGGGACCGCCAGGTCGAGGGGGAGGAAGGGGAGGAGGAGGAGGAGGAGGAGGAAGAGAGGAGGAGGAGGAGGAGGAGGAGGAGGAGGAGGAGGAGGAGGAGGAGGAGGAGGAGGAGGAGGAAGACGACGGAGGACCGCCAGCTCGACTGCGGCGACGTCACCGCCTCGGCCGCAGCTGACGGCGCAGCGGCGAGGGCGAGCGCGGCGCCCGGGGCGGGCTCCGCGGCGCCCGCGCTGCGGGGCGCCGTCGTGATCGGCGCCACGTCCGAGGGGGGCTCGGCGCTGTGCGGGCCCCCGCTGGAGCCAGCGCGGCCGGCTCCTCCTCCTCCTCCTCCTCCTCCTCCTCCTCGTCCTCCTCCTCCTCCTCTCCTCCTCCTCCTCCTCCTCCTCCTCCTCCTCACCTCCTCCTCCTCCTCCTCCTCCTCCTCCTCCTCCCCCCCCCCCCGCGGCCGGCCCCCGAGGAGAGGAGGCCGAGGGGGAGGACGGCGGCAAGCAGCGGCCCGACGCAGCCCCGCGGTTGCAGTGGAGGCGGCTCGGAGGTGGACAGACCTCCTGCCCCGACACGTCGATTCGCGGATTGGCCGTGGTCAATTCGCGAGGGGGCGTCGCGGCCGTCATTTTTGCGGGTCCAGGTCCGTCGGTTGCGGTCCTGGGCCCTTGTCACTGAAGGGAGGTTCATTAGAGGGAGGCTTGTCCACCGCCGAGTAGGCGGCGCGGCGCCCGTCGCACGCGGAGCGGGGAGCGTGATGTCGGCGGCGGTCTCGGAGGCGCCTTCCCGATTCGACGACATCGTCGTCGCGGGCACGGTGGAGGGCGAGCGTTACAGGAAGCTCGGCGAGCTCTCGGGCACTGGTCCGGGCGCCGTGGACTGGGCGACCTTCGCAAGAGTCATGAGCACGTTGATGGGCGACCTCGTTACCGACAGCGACCTGCGGCGGGAGTGGGCGGACGCGGGTGATGCGGGCATGACTCTGAGTCGCATGTACACGCTCGTGACCTCCCCGGATCACTACCACATTCAAGGCCTCCCAGATCGGGTCGGAGTAGATGGGGTCGGAGGATCGTGCCGCATCGCCGATGCATCGCAGATGCGGCTCGATGCGGAGCCCACTTTTCTTCACGCGGACGTCGCCGATGCATCGCCGGTGCATCGCCGGTGCATCGCCGGTGCCCGATGCATCGCCGATGCATCGCCGACACATCGCCGACGCGGCGCGATCCTCGGACCCCATCCACTTCGACCCTATCTGGGAGGCCTCTACACATCGCCGGTGCCCTGGACAGGGGGGTCGCCCTGGGCAAGCCGGCGGCCGAGGCGCGGCCGAGGGAGCCTCCCGGGCCGCACACCGCCTCGCGGGCCTGCGAGAGGGCGGCCGCGGAGGACGTGCAGGCGGAGCAGCGGGGCGTGGCCTGATGGGCCTGTCTCCACCACCGCCACCAGAAGTTGAAGGGGGGAAGGAGGATGAGGAGGAGGAGGACGAGGAGGAGGACGAGCAGGAGGACGAGGAGGAGGAGGACGAGGAGGACGAGGAGGTGGAGGTGGAGGAGGAGGAGGGCCCCCTTCCCCTCCAACTAGTGGTGGTGGTGGTGGTGGTGGAGAACAGGCCCATCATGGCCGGGGAGGGCCTGACCCTGACGGCGAGGCTCTGCTACACCATCCTGGCTTGCTTCGCCCACTGGTTCGGCGCCGCGCGCTTCGACGCGGACGGGGACGGCGACTTCGACGCCGTGGACGTGCAGGCCATGCTGGGCGGCTGGAGCAGCAGGCTCGCGCTCCAGCGCGTGCGGCCGCCGCGCGGCGGGAAGGCGAGGGCCGCGCGTCGCAGGAGGGCAGAGGCGAGGAAGGAAAAGCAGAGGGAGGCCGGGAGGGCAGAGGGCGCGAGAGCGCACGGCGGGGCCGTGCGCACGAACGGGGGGGCGGGCGGCGTCACGGGGGCCGCCGATAGCATGGTTGAGCACGTCCTGGATGGCGTGGCGGGCGTCCTCGAGGCCGAAGTCGAGGCGGAGGCTCAGGAGGACGTGGTCCTCGAGAACCTCCAGCAGCGCTTGCCCTACTTCACCATCGCCGAGGCGTTCCTGTGCCTAGGCCTCTGGCTGTTGAGCGTGCTGCTTGTGGAGAGGGACTATCTCCTGCTCGCTTATAATCAGGGCGTCACACACGATCTCATTCTGCGGACGCTCGAAAAGGGTGACGGTTCAGCGCTGATCTTAGAGGAATGCCAGATCGAATGCACCTTCGCTGATGCCGCGTGCGTGGGCATCGCTTGGCTCCCGGGTCCGTTTCCGGAGTGCCACTTGCTCGCTCAGTTGCCAGGCGCCGCCCTTTCTGGCTCAGGTGGGTACTGCAGGCATGACTCGTGGGATTGGCGGGTGTACGAAAAGGGCGCGTTCACTCTCACGGGCGCGGTGGGTTCAAAAGGAGGGGCGGAGAGCATGTGGCCAGGGCGCACCGCCCTGCGCTCCCACTACCTCTGCCAGGAAGGGTTCGGCATCAGTTTCTTGTGGAGGTGGTGGAGCTATCAATTCACCCACGGCAGCCTTGCTCACGTTACCGCGAACTGTTTCATGACGCTCATGTTCGGCATTCCTTTGGAGGGATGGCTGGGAACAGGCAGAATGGCCATCATGTGGACCCTGGGGTGCTTGGGCGGCGCCTGCTGCTGGGCCCTTTTCGACCCTTACCGCACCTCGTACGGCGCCTCTGGAGGATGCTTCTCTTTGCTTGGCATTCACATCGCAGACCTGCTCATGAATTGGGGTGACAGAAAGTGGCGCTTTGGCACCTTCGCCATGATCAGTTTTATCTGCGGCGTAGAGAGTGCCAGCTTCTGGGCGACCTACGATCCGGATGGCGGTACAACAGCACACTGCGTGCATGTCGGTGGCTTGGCCGCTGGGCTTCTGATCAGCGTCACAGTTGGCCGCAACGAGCATTGGAAGTTTTGGGAGTACGTGTGCTGTTGCATCTCTTGGTGTCTTGCCATTGGCCTTCTCGGCGGAAGTTTCTACTTCTGGTTCGAGAACGATTATCCCGCCATCGCCAATGTGTGGGACTATTCTGAGCGCCCGTGGTGCTGGATTGGGAAAGTATGCATCGGTGATGATGGTACGAAATGTCCGCTGCTGAAGACATTCCCGACTCTTGCGACGGGTGCCTCCACAGTGGAGGAGACGCGGCAGCAGTGTGTTTTCTGCGCTACGAGGAGCTGCGTGGAGGGCTGGTACACGAAATACACCGCCGACGACGGCATAGAACACCAGAAGTACTGCCCGACGGCCTCGACGCCAAGCGCATGCTCCGACGACTTTACCGACGACTGGAACCTTTTCTACCCTCCCACCAGGAGCAAGTTCCAGGGCTAGACTTAGACGACGCGGTCCGCGGGCCCGAAGGCCCCCCCCCGCCCGCGACGCGGGCAGGCGGGGGCTCCGGCGCCCGCCTGCGGCTCCGAGAGCGTCAGCCTCGCCGACGCCGAGGTGGCGGAGGACCCTGCGGTGCGAGCCACGACGTCACGGACTGTGCGTGCTGCCCAGTGGCCCGCGGGGGCGCGGCAGTCGTCGCACCTCGCGTGGGTCCCATTCGCCGCTGCTTCTGAGATGTACTTGCACAGCGTTGCAGTCTGCGCGCCTGTGCATACGTCTTGCTTGAACATTTCACGCCTCCGCCCAACCTGCGAAGGCAAGAGTTGGAGAGTGTTTCGCTTAGCATGGGCGTGCTTTGGTTCAGCTTTCAGGTCTCCTTCCGGGGAGTTTTTCCAGACGCCCGCGTCTTCCTTCCTTACAGGGACAGCCGCATTCGATGATACCATAGCCAACGTGCGTATGTGACACACTATCATTGTGGACCTAACGCTGCCAAACCAACAAGTTGGGAGCGTTGTTCCTCATGACGCGTTCTTTGTCGTAGCAGCTCGACTGCAGGTGATTGAGAATGTGACCGACATAATTTCGGCGCCGTGATTTTCTCAAAAAGTTGTCCCCCAAAGGGCTAGGCCCGTTTTCTGAACACCTCTGCCTTGAGGTCCCGGTTGGAATCCACTGCCCCTCTGGTCTGATGCAGTTGTATAGGAGGGGGAACAGAGGACAGAGTGTTTACACAGTTTGGAGGAATTCTTGAATTCAGTATGGGTCGGGCTTGAAGCGCCTCGAAGAAAGCGCGCGCGCCCGAATTGCAATCATATGGCTATATGCGGACCCAGGACAGTTTGCTTCCCGTCGTCGGTCTCGCCCTTGCTCCGTTCCCCTTTTTTCCCTCCCCTGGATGATGTCGAAAGCGTCCGCGGGTCGGGCGGGGGAACGCCCCTGACCACCTCCCTCATTATTCCTTGTTCCTCTTTGCTTCCCTGCTCCACCGTCCGTCGTCCTACCTCGTCTTCCATCCATTTTCGAAAAGTGGAGTCCCTGGTGCCGCGTGCCCGCATCAGTGGTATATCGCCTTTTCGATATCCGAGCACAGCGGAGCAACCAAACAGGGGCGATTGACAACGCGAGCGTTCGGGGCGCACTCCAAACGCGGGCGGCACGGCCGCCGAGCATAGTCGCATCGCTCACATGTAAATTATATGTGCCTGCGGCAAGGCCCGCCCCTTTACCAGCACAGCGGTCTGTATGGCGACGCGGGGAGCTTTGACTGTTAAGAGGTCCATGGCATGTGACACCTCTCGTGTTTTCGGATTTCTGGGTTGGCAAAGTCGGGGCACCCTCGAGGTGGCGAGCGTTTACCTTTCCGGAATACACAGATCAAGGTGTGATCTGTGTACACTGCTTGTGTCTTCAACTGTGTATTTTCGTGTGTGGGCCCACTGTTTACACAGATCGTGGTGTGATCTGTGTACACAGATCTCGCTCCCATCTGTATATTTGGAGTGTGCGCTTCGCGGGTGGTGTTGACTGGGCGGGAACTTTCACGTTTTTCGTTCGGCTGGTCCAGGGGGGGCGTCGTACGCAGTCGAAATACACAGTTCGTGTCTCCAACTGTGAATCTGTCGCGCGCCGCTCGGCGGAGTGGCCACTGGGCGGGAATTTTCCGCGAGTTTCCCAGCTGGTCCACCAGGGGGCAGTCTGGGCATGCAAAGGCGCAGAAAAGTGGGATGGTGGGCCGTGGGAAGGGAGGGGTTCGATAGGAGTGGCGGCCAAGAGGCCAGGGATGAACCGGAATGGACGAGAGGGGAGGAAACGGGTTCAGGAGGAGTTGCATCATCGGCGTCAGCATCACAAGGACGAGGGGGCGGGGAGGGGCACATGGAGGGGGCATGATGTGCACTAGGGCGTCGAGGATGGGAGGAGGGCAGGCATGTGGACGATAGTGGGAACTAATTCGGCGGAGGAGGACGACGAGGAACGACATGAATTGGCACGTGTGGGGGTGACAATGTGGATGAGGGGCATGGTGAGGACCGGGGGTTATCGGAGGGGCATGAGGAGAGTGGGGCCTAAGCGAAGGGATATTGGAAGGCGGCGGGGGATGGGGCATGAGTTTGAGGCGGGCGCCAGCTAACGATTAGCTGAACAGTGTTCTGCGTGTGCGTGCACCCCCCCAGAACACACTGACCGGTTGCAGAACTTCATGATATGGGTAATCGTGCGCGTTGTGCTTCCAGGCCAAAGGCTCGAGTCCACGACGCCTCTTGGCGTCGCGTTGATGCCGCCCCGATTTGCCAGACCGCATATGCACAGATAGGCATAACATGTGTTTGAACGTTTGTTTCATGACCCTCTCTATAGTAACAGACCCACGTTGGAAACCAAGGTCCCGGGGCCCTGAGGACCCACGGGGCCGAATATTCCGCTAAAAGAATCAAGCACTAAAACACACAAGTTTTTGCGACAGAAGGTGGGGTTATGATGTTCCAGCCTACTTTAGCCTTGACCATCGAAAAGAATTTCGAGCACCAAGAGAGTACCGAAATTGTAGGTTTTTTCGTGCCGGGCCTTGGGAAGCGATACTTCTCCGACACTGTTTCGATTCTGTTCTGCGTGTTCGACATTATTTATGGGATGTGGTCCCCAAGTGCGATGGGGACAACATGAAGGTGGGGGTGGGGGGAGGAGCATCTCCTCTTGAGGGGCTGGCCCGCGCTCCGCCGCCAGCCCCGCGACCTCGCCACATACGTCTACGAGAGCGGCCGCCACGGGCTGAGGCGCGCTTTGCCCCCCTTGCTGGGCTGCGCTCTGGCAGGGGTCCCTGCGGTTGTTCTGTGGCCGCTTCGAGACTCACTCTTACTTTTCTCCCTTGGGATCATGATGTTCCAACCTTTTTTGGCCTTGATCGCGAGAAAGAATTTCGAGCCCACCAAAAAGTACCGAAACTCATTGGTTTTTCACATGTCGGGCCCTGGGAGACACTCGTCCGACACTTTCCCGGCCCTGTTTCGTCACTTTTCTGGGCGCTCGAAATTATTTCTAGGATGTAGTCTTTGATTACGACGGGAGCAACATAACCCTGGGAACGGTTTCTGGGAGCGGTTTCTTTTCGATGTAGTGTTTTCGGGTGTGGGTCCCCCCGTGCGCCCACCCGCCAGCTCCAGCTGCTGGCAGCCGCCTTCCCGCTTCCGTTGCCCTTGTGGTTTGTCACGGCCGCCGACCGCGCTCAGTCCCTTCGCGCCTGGCTGCTGCTGCCCTCCCCCCCATCTGCTTTTCGTCGAACTTTTCGACGTCTGAGCGCTCCTTCTTCCCCTCGGCCGCCCCCCCCCCTCCTTGCCCACCAGCGAATTCGCTAGTTGGTGCCCCTGTCTAGCTTTTCGCTGGAGCAGAGTTCGCCGCCGCGCCGCTGACGGACACAAAATAGTGTTCGGGTGTGGGTACTCGTTGGGTTCGGGTGCAAACGAGCGTGTGCACGCGCGGGTACGCTGGCACGTGTGCGCATACGCACGCGCGCGCGTTAGCAGCCTCACGCGCACACTGGCGTCACCCCAACATTCTTATACTATATGTGCGTCGCCCCCTCAGGGGCGACGCGCGCAACGAGAAATCTATAGTATCTGTGTCGTGGCGGGCACTTTCTGGCCACACCGCTCGGGAAACGATACACTACAAGATGGGTATACGATGGGTATACGAGGAGGGGAAGAGTAAGGTCTTCACATGTGGCGCTGTGCGTTTTCATTATTTGAGGGGCCCTCTTGCAATTTGTTTGTGACGTCTTGTGGCTGTCTTGTCAAGGAGGAGGTCGAGGAAGGCCGTCACACGTGACACCTCTCGTCTTCACCATCTGAGGAGCTCTCGTGCAACTAGTTTGGGCCGATCTGCGGCTGTCTTGGCCTCCTGCGAGGTTGTCGCCGAGCGCGCCTTGGGGCCCTCTTGGGGCTCTTAGATCGTCTTGGTGCACTCTTGAGCTGTTGTTGGGGCCGTCTGAGCGCCACCTTGGCGCTGTCTTGGGGCCTCATGGGCGCCTCGGGATGCCTCCTTGTCTCGGGCAGGCCACGCTGGGCAAGCCGCTTTCGGTACCTCGGGAAGCCCTCCTAGGCCGTCTTGAGGCCAGCCGTCTTGAGGCCAAAGTGGACCGTCTTGGAGTCATCCTGGGCCGTTTTGGAGGCGTCTTGGTTCTGGAGCGCGACCCGGTCGTCGTTTGCGTGGAGTTGTGGCCTCGGGAACGCGTATTCGTGCTGTGGCCTCGGGGCCGCGCCCGGCAGGCCAAGGCCACGGGGGCTCGGATGCGTTTCTGCTCGCCGCTCGCGAGAGGCCACAGTCCAGCGTCGGGGGGGGGGATGATGGGCCCAAGTTCCACCACCACTACCATATATGTAGGAAGGGGGGGGGGAAGAGGAGGAAGAGGAGGAGGAGGAGGGAAGGAGGAGGAGGAGGAGGAGGAGGAGGAGGAGGAGGAGGAGAGAGGAGGAGGAGGAGGAGGAGGAGGAGAGGAGAAGGAGGAGGAGGAGGAGGAGGACGAGGAGAGGAGGAGGAGGAGGAGGAGGAGGAGGAGGAGGGAGGAGGAGGGAGGAGGAGCAGGAGGAACATAAGGAGGAGGATATATAATGATAATGATAATAATAATAAATAATAATAAAGAATAATAATAATAGTAATAGCAATAATACTAATAATGATACTAATAATAATATATACATCATAAAACTAGTACGTAGAAGAGGAAGAAGAACACTCATCATAACAGTAAGAAGGACAATCGTATAGCACATATGAATAATAGTGATGACACTATACTGATATCAATAGTAGTAATGACAACATATTAATAGTAGTAATAATAGTACTGATAATACTGATAATGCCAATGGTAATGCTGATAATAATACTGATACTAGTTATAATGATCATACGAATAAACATGATAATAGTAAGGGTAAGGCGAATGCGCAACATAGGAATCATAACACAGCATACATTCTAGACTCATAATAATATGACAAGCCAGTCTCATCATACGAATACGAGTAATAAGAACAATATGAATAAGAATACTACGAATATTCATAACAAGAAGAAGGAAGTAATAATAATGATAACAACATGAGAAGAATAACAAGATAATGCGGAGGAGGAGGAGGAGGAGGAGCAGGAACAGGAGGTGGAAGACGAGGAGGAGGAGGAGGAGGAGGAGGAGGAGGAGGACCTCCTCCTCCCTTCTCCCCCGTCCTGCATGCGGTAGTGGTGGTGGAGGGTTCGCCATCAGGCGTCGGCCTTTCTTCCTCCTCTTCCCTCTCCTTTTTCTCCTCCTCCTCTTCCCTCTCCCTCCTCCTCCTCCCCCTCCTCCTCCTCCTCCTCCCCCTCCTCCTCCCCCTCCTCCTCCTCCTCCTCCTCCACCTCCTCCTCCCCCGCCGCTCGAGCCAGGGCCGAGCCGCCTCCTTTGGCGGCCGCGGCCCCGGCCCACAGAGGTGCCGCCACTTCGCGGACGGTGCCGTGGCGCGCGCCGTCGAGCTGCTGCCGCGCATGGAGCTCGGCGACGTCATGCGGGCGTGGCAGGCGCCGCCGCCCCCCCCCGCGGCGGGGCGGGGGCGCCCCAGAAATTC